GGCAGTCTCAAAGCTTCTGTGCTGAAAACGGCAGTGTTGTTACAAAATATGGAAAACAATAACTTAATAATAACAAGGCCTCTGTCAAACTGCGCTACCCAAAAAGTGAACTCTTATTATGTTGTTAATAATAAAAAGTATTATTATTATAAATATAATACATTAATGAATGTTAATACAATTGTAGTCCTGATTTTTTGTTATACTTAAATCTTTGTAATATTCACCGACACTGCATTATATTTGCCCAATCCTTTGTCCTATAAATGTTGCTAAAAACATGAATAATGAAGTAGTATAACTTGACGCGATAAGTTCTCAGTCATCATTATCTGTTTTGAATGATTGCTTCAAAAGGCTTTATCATGTTGAAACTATGTGAGCAAACCAGACCGGTCACAGTTATCACAGACTTCTAACACTTGATATGTCTCATGAGGAATAACATTGCTAGTTTTAATTGCTTATTGTACATAATAATTATATTGAATCTCAAAATCTATCAAGAAGAAATACTTTCCTAAAATGACTATAGCATAAATGCAAATGAACTGAAGAATAAGGCGATCGCTGTACATTAGAGATAAAACAGCAATTATATTAAATCTTAAATAAGCTTTGATTTGGCACAAAGAAGAAAAAAGTGCATGATCTTTGGACGAGTCTAACTCCTGTAGAGTGACATCTACCACCATTTGTGTAATCTTTCATGAAAAAAATAGGGTCCTATTTTAGAAATGACATTACATTTTGACCAAAAACTAAATGTCCTCTGTGCAACAAGCAGCAATGTATGTGCTCCACGGCTGTTTTCCTGCGTCTTCCATATAAGGTCAAAGTGATTTCCTGCGATGAATATCCTAATCCATAGTAACATAAATGTTCCAATTAAGACATTTTCCTTATACATGTCATGGTTTAGATTTCTTTCCTGTTTTATTTTGTTTGTTTGTTAATCCCATGTGTCTTTTAGCTGTACTTCCTGTTTTCTGATTAGCTGCCCCGCCCTCATGTGTATCACCTGCGTCTCGTCAGGCCCCGACTCCACCGGCTGCGTAAAACGTACTACGTATCCGTAGTCTGGCCTTAGCCATCCGTACACTCCGTTCAATCATCATTTCACTGCATGTAACGTCTGGGTCTGGTCCCTGGGTTAGCGATTACAATCGGTTGAATTTCGACCGACCATTCAAAGTTGTGGTTTGGCAATGGCGAAAAATGCGATAGTAAAGTAATCCAGTCTGGTTCTATCAAGAAATTGAAGCTTTCAAAAAAGCTTGGATATGTTGGAGTTACTTTTTCTTTTCTCTCTCCCATTTTTCCAATTGCTTTCAATAAGTTTTGCCTCATCCATCGCAACGTCCTCGATGCTTCAATATGTCGTGCTTTGCATTGATCATAGCCACAACTAACCCACATCACACACCGCTTCTTCTATTTAAAACAAAGCCTCACGGGGTGCTGATAAACGCACAGCCAGAGCTACGCGCTGCTGAAGCCGGTGTGGCCACCATTCCGTTTTACGGACGTCTGACGGGCAGCAGCCTATGCACGTAAACGGGAACCCTGTGTGTTCCTTCACTCCCTGTTCCGTCATTGTCATTCCACATCTGTTTTAGTTCTCCTTTTCAATCTTTGTTTGATTACTTTCTGTGTTTACTCTGGATTTGTTTTTGTTTTTTGCCATTCTTTGCATTTCTTCAGATTGGGGTCATTTCCTTTCATTCTGTCACGTTGGTAAAAGTGTGACTAATGAGACACAGGTGATACACATGAGGGCGGGGCAGGTAATCAGGAAACAGGAAGTATAACTTAAAGACACAGGGCTTAACAAATTACAAAATAAAACAGGAAATAAATCTAAACCATGACAATACATTAGAAGTCCCTAACACACAGCCTAAGTGTTGACTTTATTGATAGAGGCAACTGTCAGTGGTAAATAAGTACAAAGTAACAATACATCGAATATTGTAGTTTTCAGCTCCTATGTGTTGGAGAGTCACAGTGAAGTAAGCAAGTGGATTGATAAGAGCAGCATGGCAAAACTCCAGCCCTTCAAAGGTATTGTAAATTAACATTATGGGTCAAAGGCAACACAAACAGAGTCCTTGAATGTATTTTTGAAGCCAAGTGGTTATAGCTGAGCCGTCTTTTTCATTGTCCGCAGGGAAATCCAGACCAATAGATGGGAATAATACACTGAAAAATACAGCATTCATTTTGGCTCCATTCATTCTTCTGTCTTACAGAATGTACTGTGTGTCTCCAGATTGGTGGTTTTTTAGAAGCTCACCAAAGCGTAGACCATACTTTTGAGGCCAAGATACAAAAACAAGAACAGAGAGAAAGAGAGACAAATATAATGTGTTTGAATGTCTGTGTTTTTTTGCAACTTCACAAGTACTTCAGCAAATGTTCAGTTAAAGCTGGGGTAACCGAGTTTGAATCCACACAGCAATGATCTCGGTAATTTGTCAATCAATTAAACTAGTTTCTGGCTCCAAAACAGTTTGCTTCTGTCCCTAGTTTTCACATGCATATATGTTTTACCTGTCACATCTTTAGATCAGCTTTTTCATACAGAAAAGTGAAAAAGAGAGGACCAACCTCACTCAGCCAATCAGTTCTCAGCCCAAAGTGTCTCATAGTGGCCCCGTCCCAATACTCGCACTTCCACCCTTGCGCCCCTCATTTGCGCGTTCCCGATGATGGGTGCGAGTGCGTAGGGTGTCCCAATTCTCCAGGGAGGTCTTTTTCCCCGCCCCCTTTGCGCCCCTGATCCACACTTTGCCGTAGCCTGCATCTATGCGCACTCTGGCGAAGGATATTGCCCATAATTATTTGCGGTACACACCAAAACGTCAGGAAAATACATTTAAGTGTAAGTTTTGAAATATACATGCTGTACGTGTGTAAATAAGTTTTGCTATGTTACTTGGAAAGCAACATAAATGTATTTATGGACATTCTATGCTAACAATTTCATAACTTTTTAAAGCAAGCATTCATATAACATTCCATTTAAACTTTACACTTAGTAACTTAAAATTATGCAGCTATCTCAAATTACAAATAACCAATATTGACTCCTTGCATGTGACGTTCCGGCCACGCCCACTCTCCATGACAGACGGCAGAAGTCTAACTGCGAGCCTATGGACACCTGACCAAAACAACCTGTTTCAGCGCATTACAGCCAAAACTGTGACATTTTGCAGTGCGGTTGATTATACTAACAGGCAAGGACATAAGCTTTAAGACAGAAGACGAGAATGGCCAGCGGCAATCAACCAAAAGGACTGGGACCCATCCAAGTACTCCCTAATATGCAGTGAACACTTTTTACAAGATATAGCAATCACAAGTTTGTATTTATTTTATTTCCATTAATGTGGAGGACAATGACACACGTCAAACGTGTCTCTTACTACTGTCCTGTATGTGCGCTGCAACATTGACATTTTTATCTTTTAAGTCAATTGCGTGTTTCACTATTTTCCTCTCCGTCAGTACGTATCATGTTTGGTTGTAGACAGAAAAGCCACAGAAAAGTGGATTATTTCTAATGCAGCAAAATGTACATATAAATCTGCTCCAGTGTAAGGTGATGCATTGTTAACGATAATGATAAAGATCATGTAGGGTGAATTTGGGCAAAAATAGACATTTTATATAATCAATAAAATTGACTGGGGGGAGAAGGTATGGGTCAACATCCAGTTAGGCAATCCTTAACTTCTCCAAATACCACTCTTTGTGAGCCCTGACCTGATGTCCTACTTCCACCTATAACGTAATCGAACATGTGCTTGAAGCAGCCACTTCTCGATTTAGGAGAGGAAGCTCCGTTTTTAAGAGTTGTGTCCGTTTTGCTCTCGCAGCAATGCTAGTTTCCAACACTTCCGCCGTAAGCTCATTCACAATCACGTGACTGGATGACGTTGATGCATCTGGTCAATACATATATTTTAACAAGTGTGGAGCAACTCATTTTGTTTCCCACAGGGTCAGACAAAATTACCTTTAATTTTTATAAAGTTGTGGTCTTAAAATGACCATCTCTTGACGAGTCGATGACGTAACCTGCACTCAGTGTGCTCGAACCCTTGCGTGCACTTCAAACAAATGCACACTTTGTAGAGGAGTGTAGGGTGCAGTGTGGGTATTGGGACTGGGCCATAGTGACTCACAGGCCCTTCAAAAGCAAACATGTTTTCTTATAAAGATGAAGTCTGATTTGTTCACAACATTTTAGATTCTTTCACTGATTCATTCTTGGGCTGTAATTAACGACTATGTTGAAAATTGATTTTTCTTGAATCCCGAAAAGGTCAGTGATTATTATTACTTTAAACATTTGACCAAAACAAAGCATGTATTTTCATTTCATTCTGCATTATCATAAAACTGTTTGGGTTGATGGGTTGACTTCAATTGTATTTCCTTTTCATAAGAATGCCTATTTTTGACCATATGATCCGAGCTATGATGTAAATTAAGTTGTTTAAAAAAAAATTATGTTTCAAATGGTCCCTCCTCTTAGCAAAACGTAGACTGATATAATAGTTGGAGGATGAGAATAATTCAACCAATGGCTTGATTGGTTGATATCAGTGAGGGTGAGCATGGACAGGTCTAGGTACATTTATGAACATTTATCAACACTTTTGAACAATGAGTTTTCTGTTTTAGTGTTTGAACTGTTTAATTCTCTGATCTGTGTTGGCAAATTCAATGATCTGTGTTGGCAAATTCAACGGTTGTGTAAAGTCCTCAGAGAAAACTACTGTTGTGATTTACGGCTATACAAGAATTTAATTTGAAATGTTTCTCTCTCTTCACAATTTGAAAAGTAACCAACATTCACTTTAAATTCACATGATGTTAAAAAATGTATTGATTAGTTGTGATAAATTGTTTTCCTTGGTACATCCCTAATTCATTGGTCAAAGGTTCGGTACCCCAGCCTTAAGTGTGATGTTGTGCCTGTATGCAGCTCACCTGTAGAGATAGTAGAAGAAGGACACAAGGTAGAAGCCCATCTTACACCAGGATTCTTTCTGGCAGTAGTTCAGGATGTCTGCGTTCATCACACTCACCGGGTCGTACATGACCTCGGAGCCGTCTGCCGGCCGGTGGAAAAACCTGCACATGAAACATACATGAGCTTCTAGGGCCGAGACACCAGCTGCACTTCTGCTCTGGGACCTACCTCCACAGATGGTAGAAGAGCAGAGGGATATTTAGGCCAAGTGTGACCCACTCTCCGGCACACATGAACATCAGGCAGAAGAGGCCGTGGATGGAGTACTCTGGTACCACAAGCTGAAGCACACACTGTTACATTAGCACTGGTGACACAGCCATGATAACAACACTCTCACATGACGTGGGAGATGGATGAACTCTAGTTTGAAGTCCCATAAGATCTCACTGTGCTCAAATACTGTTCAATTGAAGACTAATGGATTGACATTTGTGATTACTTGATTGAACTATTTATCTAAAAGTCTACACAACATAGACACAGTTATGAATGTAAATGGTTTGAAAAGGAAATGTTTGAATCTTTTCACCAATTTCACATCAGGACAACACAAAACCGCAATGTCAAGAATAGCACATAACAGTATACTCAACAGTACATACAGTAATGCAATACACTTCCACCATTGGTATCGGACACAACAAGACAACAGGTAAACACACACACACACACACTCATTCACTCAGTCAAGACACAGGACCAAACACACCCCGACCCTACATCTCTCCCCCTATCATAATACAATTTGAGAAGATCATTTACCTTTATGACAAATTACTACCTACACAGTAAATGGCTGTTTTTTTGTTATAAAGACACTTTTGAAATTGTTTTCGGTCATTATATTGCTAATGGTGGTATTTCCGTATTATTGTTTACCGGTAAATCGCAATATATATCATCCATCAAAATGTTTTTTTTACGACACTGTGACTGCCTATGTGTTTGCCATAGACTGTAAAAATTAATGGACGTAGTCACGCCTATCTCTGCCGTTCTAACTAATGGGCCAAAAATAGTGCTCTACTGGAGCTATCCAAAATTGCCGCGAGTGGTCCCGCCCACAAGAAAATTGTGAAAAAACGCATCTGCGCATGCGTCAGCCGGTGAGAGCTCCATTCATTTGAACGAGAGACTTCAAAAATTCACAGCGAGTAAACTAGAGTGGACCCAAAAAATTCACCCCCCTCAGCATTGACACACATGTGGAACGGAGCTTTGGGCCAAGAGCCAACTTTTGGACCATCCTGTAAAGACGTTTTCGAGAGGTCTGCCAATGCTATATGTTAGCATTGGCTAATTCTACCTCTGGGTCCACCCCCATCGGCCCGGGGTGGTATTGCAAGCATGTCAGCACACGTCATTTTGACCACTTTTGAGCCGGGACCCGCACCCACTAGTGTTTCCCCATAAATAAATAATACATTAAAGAGTTTGATCTGAAAAGCCACCACAATCAAGAATTGAGATTTTTTGTGTGTGTGCATGTTTCAAGATGTTTCTGACCATTTTCTACACTTTTAAAATATTCACAAATCAATCACAAAAGCAAGAAAATCTATACTCGTCCGAAATATCCACATTTAGAATAGCAACCTGAATTCAAGTCAGTTTCATTTCAATGATTGATGATTTTTTTGGCCGTATAAAAAGTCAATTACAGTCTCGTCCATGATGGGTCTAAAGCATGGACCTTTCACCAGTATATACAGTATGTTTCCTTTCAAATCAATCCTGTAAATACGTGCTGTGCGGCCGTCGTCATTATCGGTGTTCTCTTTAGGAGGTGAGAGTGTGTGAAAAGGCTGTGGTGGTCTCGCTGCAGTGAAGTCCCCTCCGCATTACTCACCCGACGCAGCAGGTTGCAAATTCTTTCAATGTTCAGAATCCTCTCTCTCTGTGAAGGAAACACAAAATCAGCTTTAAATATTTACACACGCCGCATATGGAGGGATGCCCTGGAAGATAATTTGTGAAACGGTTTTAATCAAACTTTTTTTTTGTCTTTATTTAAATTGTGGACATGACGTTTACATTTTTACAATTCAATTTCAAATAATTGTGTTGTCACAAAAATTAAAAGAGCAGAAAGAAGAGAAAAAATCTGTAATTTTTTTCTAATGTTATTTCATAGATATATTGTGCTTTATATATTTTTTTATTTTTTCCCTCAACGACCAAAGTATGAAAAGGATTCAAACCTGAGTAACTGGCCGCTCCCTATAATGCCCTCTGATTATTTCTGTTATATCTGTTTATTAAACCTTGAGGCACCAGTTTTACCATTTTTTTCTTGTCAATTTATGTGAAGAAGTGTTGTAAGAGATAAAGGATGACAACGATCAACAGAAGAAATAAATAAAAGAGAAAATATGAATAATGTAGAGAAACTTTAGTGTTGTATGCTCACAAGGTCACTGACAGGGACTCAAGCGGTTCTCTGTAGGACGTTTTCTTTATTTTTTTTTTTATTTATTTGACAGGGACAGTGTACATTAATCAACATTTCTGTAAATGCACCGGAATTAGCCAAAAGGCTATTTTTCATCCGTAGTCCCTGGACAGATGTAAAAAGTCTCCCTAAGACAATAAAACAATAAAACATTACGGTCAGTGCAATAAAATACAAAGTAGGACACAGTCACTACACTATACAGGTTATATACAAATACAAACAGTGCAAACAATAAGAATCATAATACAGACAGGGGTTAATGACTGCAAGACTGTTGAGTAATGAACCAGTTCTTTAAATGTTTTTTAAACAGTATGTTAGTGGACAGATCTCTTATGTTAGCTGGGATGGAGTTCCAGTCTTTGGCTGCAGTTACAGAAAAGGTGTTCTGACTAAAGGCACTTTTCCTAAATGGAACTATGCAGTCTCCTCGAGCTGCTCCTCTAGTCACCCGCTGTAAATATGTGGGGTTTCTGATGCTGACAAACTGACTGAGTGGGGGAGATGATTGGTTGTGGATTATTTTATGTATGAGGCAGAGGTTTGAATACTTAATGAGATTTTCCCAGCTTAAAAGTTTGTGCTTTTGAAGGATATTGCAGTGATGATACCTCATTGGTTTTTTGTCCAGAATTTTTATTGTCCGTTTGTAAAGTGACTCTAAGGGCTTTAGTGTTGTTTTATTTGCTTGAGACCAAGTTGTTAAACAGTAGGTTATGTGCGATAGGACCATGGAATACATGAACATTTTTGCTGCTTGCAGAGAGAGTTGAGACCTTCTACACATGGATTGCTTAAAACAAAATATATATGATTGGCCTACATTTTAGTCATTTTCAGCTAAACCCTTTAACATTCACTCCTTGGAGAAAGCAATGCTATTTTTTTTTTTTATTATATTATTATTACCTTTTCCAAATGGTTGAGATGCAGTTTGATGGGAAAAGGTCCAAAAACCAAAGAGGTATATTTCAGTTCCAAGCTTAGATACACATATATTCAGTGGTGTTCCAAGGGTACCCCGGGGCCCCAGGCAACAGAGTCCTTGGGGGCCCCGATACCGACCACATAACCAGATTTTGTAATCCTACAAAATCTTATCTTTCATTTGGCCCTCGGTGTTTATATAGTCTATATGTGTTTATATAGTCTATATAAACACAGAGGGCCAAATGAAAAATTAGGTTCTTAGCTTTTATCTGCAAAAAACGGCTTGTTTTTACCTTTTACCGTTCTTGAGCAATCTGTCATACAATATAACATAATAGTTTAATCCAAAACCTCGATCTCACTTGGATTTGAACCAGGATCGTCGCGGCGCTAGTGCTGTAACTTAACCACTGGACCAATAAAACATACTATACTTCTGTGTCTCCAGGCAGGGTTTTTAACTGTTAGTGAAGAACGTGGCAAGTTTTGCATCAGACGAGAAGTTTTTATCCGCCAACTCGTCACTGCAGGTAGCTGTTGTAGCCTGTACAAGTCAAGCCCCGGCGATCCAAGATGGCGCCGTATTCAAATGAATGGTTGTGCTCAGTGGCGCATTGTACCAGCATGGGCGCCGAAAGATTAGCGGAACTTGCCTGGAACTCGCAAAGATCCATGGGAACTCGCCTGTATTTTTTCATCGTCTGGTCCTCCCGGTTCTGCGCAGTGGATGATCTGTGGATGTGCACAGAGGGGCTCGGCCGCGCTTTGACCAATCAGAGCAGCTCATCAGAGCGGGAGTTAGAGCGAGAGCCAGACGAGCAGAGTTTGTGGCACTAAAGTGTGGATTTTAAGAAAACCGAAGGATTTAAGAAGAAACATTTTTAAGGATGACAAGGGACACTGAAATCCCCACAAAATCCGACCTTTATGAAAGCTGTAGGTTCTCTGTCAGCTGAGGTCGAGCTGTTTTAGTTTACCTTGAGTTCTATGGGGAAAATGTCTGGGTGGTCCACATGAATCCTTCAGCTCCAAGCTAGTAATACCCTATCCAGTTATTATAATAGATCCATGGTACAAGTCGACTGCTTGTGTCAAATCAGTCGGCCCTCGGGGCCCCCTGCCGGTTTGGGGGCCCCAGGCAGCTGCCTGCCTTGCCTAATGGCAAGGGACGCCTCTGCATACTGTATATTGACTCCAAAGGTGATCTACCAAATGGCTGAAGAAACCATTTAAGGGTTAATATTCCAGATTTATTTTTCTTGATAAAATATAATATGTCCTGGATTAAGAGCAACTTTACTTTCTCTCCTGAGACAACAAACACCAGGTCCATTCCCTTTCACACTGTTGTCTGGTGGACCATAAGACCAGCCTCAATTATCAGTGCTTGAAATGAAAGCGGTTCGTCTTGCTCTGCGTTCACTGACCTCAAACAATCCCGTTATTTTCAGCTTATTGATTCCCTAAATTAAGACTTCTCCACCAAGAACTAGCAATTACCACGTCTCCGGTTGATTTGGTTGATCCAGGGCTCAGTCTGTGGGAGTGAGAGCATTGGAGAAGTTTGCCTCTCATGCAGCTGGGCCTGAATTTCATTAAGCGTGTATGAACTCCTAACGCCATCCGAAAGTGGCTGTTGTCCTCCATCTACAGCGCAGCCTCCAGAGTCCAGATTTTTCACACTTTTTGTTTATTTATGGCAGCAATTTTCTCTTTGCTCACTGTTTGGATGTAGTGCCACTGAATATATTATGAAGCAATATGTGATCTAAGGTTTATCCTAATCCACTAGCTGCTTGCCTTAACTTAACTTTTTGTGTTTAAAGAATACTTGTATAGTGCAATAAATAAACAGTATTGCTTTATAGATAATTAAGAATATGAAAAATATGGACTGAATCAGTAGAATATAAATACGTAGTGATTTGTCTAAACATAATTTATACACAAGTTACGTGGAGCTTGGAGAGTTAAGGAAGTATTTAACATGTGCATTTTGGCAACTGTTGCAATACTGGATTTCTCAAACAAGTGCAGGTCAATTATACCAGTAACATACGGTGAGCTAATGGTGAGGGGACATGCTAAAAGTCTTATATAAGACCATTTAGATGGAAATGGTTAGTGAATGTCACACCACTTCAGGATGTGACTCATAATCAAGCAACGCTGTAAATCTTTGTGAGATGGTATGCTGCTAAATGGTTGTCTAGACACATCATGTCTGCCAAGTTGTAACGTTGATATTATAATATTTCATTTTTCAGTCGATGTGTTAAACATGCACATACAGCACATTTGTTATATCACAGTTTTGTGCTTCGGTTCTGGACAAAATAAATTCTCTTTGAGGGCTCTTAGTTGTGTGACTGTTTTCACAGCCTCATCTCCCACTCCTCACCCCTCTTACTTTGCACTTACATGATCATGAAAATAGAAGAACAAGTAAAGCAACTTTGAAGACAACTGTGCTGCAAAAATGCCCACTTAGAGAAACAATTAATATAACATCCTTTTAAATAATTGAAGAAATGTATTGTGTATTTGTGTATCTGTTTTTGTGATATATGGACTCATTTTGTGTCTGAATTAAAAATTAAATAAATAAATACATAAAAAAATCATGGGGTGAAGATCCAGATGAGTGAGGGGTCCTTCCTATAGTGGAGGAGCAGAATCCGTGCAGCGTCTCTGCATCAGACTGTCGTGGTGGAGGGAGCAGCGCCTGCAGTCAGAGCTGTATCAGACTGTTGTGGGGAAGAGGGAGCAGCGCCTGCAGTCAGAGCTTCATCAAACCGTTGTGGTGAAGAGGGAGCTAAGTCGAAAGGCAAAGCTCTCGATTTACAAATAATCTCCCTCCCTTTATAAATAAAACTCCCTCACAAATAGGGTGAGGAGCTTGGTTTCACGGGAGGGGCTTGAAGTAGACCTCAGCTTCTACACTTTGAGAGGAGCTGAGGGGGCTCAATCATCTGTCTCTGGCATGTCCAAAGAGGAGATGCCCGGGGAAGACCCAAGCCAAGCTGCAGGGACTATGTATTCCAGCTGACCTGGGAACGCCCCGGGATTCCCTCGGATGAGCCGGAATAAGTGTGTGAGGATAGGGAAGTCTGGGCATCTCTGCTTGGATCGCTGTTCCCACAACCCGGTAATGGACAAAGTGCAAGAAAATGGTTGGATGGATGAATAGTGCCATGATGTAGACTTTTTGGTCACTTTTAGCTGGTTTTATTTTGGTACAGTGATTCTTTTCTGTGTTACTGTCTGTTCAGTTGATGACCTATCCTGCTCTTATGTGTTTCACTTTGTACCTGTGTGTATCTAAACCCTGTGCTCCTCTCCTCTTGTTGTTGGCCTGTCGTGTTTTTGTCCCTGTTTCGTCTTGGTCTTGGTTTGAGTTTGGAGTTCTGTTATATACTGGATGTTGTGTTTTGTTTATTAAATCTTCATCTTTTAGCAGTCTTGCAAGTTGAGCAGTCATGTTCCCATAGATCTGCTCTTCCTTGGGCTTTCTCTTGCTCTTTCTCTCCTCTTTTAAATTATTTATGTCTTGCTTGTCGACTTATTGTTTGTACTTTTACTAACTGTGTGCTTGTGTGTTTCTTACCTGCTTTAGGACAATGGATGCAATTTAGCTATTGTGCTATTTCCAGCATATTTATGTTGACGCTGTTTGCAGACACATTGATGAATATGTACTGTCCTAAATTCAAATAAATAAAAAATCAATAAAATAAAGAGTCCTTTTTCTGTTTTCACCATGTAACAAATAGACCATAACCGTCCCTTTGTTGATAATCTTTCATGACAGTTATCTGAATTACACTATATTATGTTTAGGAGCAGCTGGATAGGAGGTGAAGCTTTGCCATTCACGAACTACAGAAATAGCCTTAAATCACTGAAGTTTGACTGGGGCTCAGTGACGTGCGAGTTGTGTAGTGTGTCAAATCTAAATAAGTTCTGTTGTGAAACTTTGGGTGAGTGCACGTGGCTTTTATGGTCGTCGTAAATCTCCGTCACAAACGCTCTGTCTCCTGTGGCTCTTAAAAGCAACGAGTGAAGAGGCTTCTTACCGCTCTGGTGGGATTGCTCTGATCAATCGGGTTTTTGAAATCTGTGCGGAGCTCATCAAACGCAATGATCTGAAACCAATAAAAGAAGATTACCTCCACAGCCATCTTATATTTCAAACGCAACATATTCATCTCAATTAAATTCATTCTTGTATAGCCCTAAAACACCACAGTAGTCATCTCGGAGGACTCAAACAGAGAGTTCATTCACAAGAAAAAGACAGAAAACACATTGGTATTGGTCCATGAGAGGCAGATGACCAATGTCCATAAATGTTGATAAATGTCCATAAATGTTGAATGTTGAGTGTCCTGGATCATCACCTCTGTCCTTTTAGTTAGACCTCACAATTCTCTACTAGACCCTCCTATGCTAAATAACAAACTTGTAATGTTTCTTGTGGTGTTTAGATATACAGTATACGTTGAGAACAGGGCTAATGTTCCAGATAAGAAGAGGTAATAGCTGTAGTGTGAAGTAACACTGAATAGATGTAGTGTTGGCCGCCTGCTGAGGGCATCATGAGAGCAGATTTAAAGCAGCGTGCTTCTGACAGCTCATTATTAAGAGCCGTACAGACACACGAGCATCAGTGTCTGCTCCAGCTACAGCCCACTGCAGTCAGACATATTCAGCCATCCCTCATCCGCTTTAGCATCGCGCACTTGTAAACAGATGCAGTTTCCATGGAGACATGCTGAGCCCCTCAATGAGCTCCATGGTTACTATAGCAGTGAGAGAGTGCTGTGATTGGCCAAGAGCAGCAGGAACTGGGGTGCTGTACTTGGGTGAGGAGGGACGCGGGGTACGGAGGGAAATCAAGAGTTTGATAAGCGTTTGGGTGTCAAGGGAAGCAGACACAGCGCGGCTCATGGACAGTGACTCACACCAGATAGTCACACCCACTTCGCATGATACATTAGTCATTTCAAGTCCCATACCCGGCCTCTGTTGGTACAATATTCAGAGCTGCTTAGTGGAATGTTAAAGGTGAGGGATCAATGCTTTAGTGTTTGCAGAGTCTGTGTAATCAGACTCACAGATCACAGGGGTCTCTGCTGAGAGTTAACGCTGGCAGCAAACACGTCCAGTCTGCTGCATGGATTTATTATCAGTGTGTTTATCCTCCTCCCTGCACTCATTATACAGCTGCTCTGTCTTTGACTTGTTTGAGGGACTCTTTATTGCCAGAACAGGTGCAAAACACATAAAATAAAAAAAGTGTTTTCTGAGGTCCAAAACTTTCAGGAAAGTATGATCTGCAGAATGTTTGCAGGTCATACATCTCCTTCTTGATCTCATGTAACAGGTAAAAGGCTGACACATATCTGCTGTCCTTTAAAACCTTTAAAGCTGTCTATTTTCTAAGTGTGCGTAGGTGCAGCCAGGGGCCTGTCTGCGTATGTAGGAGGAGTGGTGCTCAGAGGGAGAAGTCTACTCACCTGCCAGATGACAAAGAAGATGAGTCCAGCACACAGGACCAGGGTGAGCATATAGCAGAAGGCCGCAAAGGTGAACGCCATGGTTGATCCAGCCACAGTGCCTGTCTCCTTTATCAAACGCCTGTAGCGTTCCTAAAGTTCTCAACTTCAATATCTGTCCAAGTCTACAAGCCTTCACAGACTTTGAATCCAACAGCAGGAATGACCCCTTTCAAAGTTGTTTCAGCAAGCACTTAAGAGTTGAAATCAGTCCACACTTGTCTCTCTCTGTCCACAACCTAATGCTTCTCCTTGAGCTTCGGTCAGACAAAAAATATTGGCCTCCTTAACCCTTTTTCACCTGTGCTTTTTATCTCTCACACCATTTTAAAATTGCACTTTTGGTCAAACACAAAATGGGCTGTGTGAGCTGTCATTTTCTTCCTCTTATGGCTTGAGAATATGGCTTACAATTCAATAAAAAAATGTCCAAAATGTAAATGGCATTCTTTATAGCTTGACAACACACATATTGCTCTATCTATTGTTTACATCTAAGAAAGGAAACGACGTCTGAATAGCTCACAATGCTTTCAAACTACAGCTAATGATTTCATATCTCAAATTCCGTTGTGCGGTTGGCTTTGTACCTGCCACTGAGCAGACTTCTCCAATAACTTTGTCTTTGTCAGTCGGTGTCAGCAGCAACATGCAACAACCTACCTCTCCACATCTGACCAGCATCCCTCTGCCTTCTCGCAAACAAAAGTTACCAGCCTCAAAAGAGAAGCATGGGGAGAATCTGAGCTGTAACATGCGGCGTGATCTACATGTTGAGGAAAATCCCTGCTTTGAAATGCGCTCTCTAAGCTTCTCCGACCTCTTTTAAGTTTCCTGAGCCAGTCCTTTCGCGGTGTCAAGTCTGCGTTAGGCACATTACTAACGCGCTTGATGTTTGACTGTTCTACCACTCATGCGTCTTCGTCTGCCTCCGCCGTGCGCTCCTCCGCTTCCCTGTCTGTCACTCTCTCTCTCTCCTCCACCATTTCCATAATCCCTGGTTCCCTGGAGACCGATGAGGGGGCAGGGCAGGCGGCTACTGTTATATTTATTTTTTATTTTTGTATATATATTTTTTTTCTGTGTCCAAATTCACACCATTTTTCTCATATTGCATTGCTGTTACATTATTTTTTTACAAGTTCATTTTTGCTGTATCGTGCGCCAGCTTGATGCGCGATTTGTGAGGGAAAAAAACAAAACAAAATACAAGGCATGTCTGTATAGTATATAGTTTCTCTGCAGGGTTTAACTCAAAATATGTGTGGAATTTTAATTGAAAGGTGATTTGTGGGTGAGGAAATCTTTTATTTCTTGTTACTATACAGGTATATCCCAGAAGTCCTCAAAAAGACTATTGTTGCAGCAGAGTGGTCAGGGTCACTCAAGCATGATTCATTCTTATGTGTTCTTTAACATTGATGTCTGTATGGCTTCGTATAGGTCAGTGATGGAGGGACAAGAAGATCCCCGGTCAAGTTGAGGTCTGAGAGATTTATTTGCACTCTTGCAGCGCAGGGTCAATGTCAAATGTTGCACTGATTTCTCTTTTTAAATTGTGTAATTGCCTATCATTCCAGTGTGGTTGAGTTGGACTGACCAATCCCAGCTCCAGATGTACGCGACACGTGGAGATCAGTACAATTCATCATGAAATACATTGTTTTATGGCGTTCCTGCGGCGGCCTGGCCTTTTTGTCACTCAGTTTTCTGCCGTCTGGTGTGATCTAAATTTAGTTGAGCCTGAAGCATTAAGGGTAAAATGCCACAGGTGCAGATGTGCTGCTCTGAGCTGCAGGATTTGGCTCCATCTGCAGACGATAAGAATCTGCTTTAGGCACAGATAATTTTTGTATCATTCCTTCACGTTGCAGCTGGATTCCAAATGTAGAATAATACACTGAAATGTGTTGTTGCTGAAAATTCACATACTTATTAATATACTTATGCTAAACATTTACTTTCCTCACATTATCCATATAACTGAAGAGTCCATGTCCCAGTGGTCTGTTGTATTATGTTTTCAAGGGTCTCTGTGTGATAATATTATGTGTAGATAGTCAAATGCAATGTGTTGTAGGGAAATAATTCAGATGATATTACTGATTTTAGAGTACCCTCTAGTGGTTGTAAACTGTACATACGTTGGTACATAACTTTCAAACCACAAAAAATAACAATGTACTAAAAATCTTACTTCCTTGCACGCAATCAGTTTTATCTCTAGTTTTCACATGCATGTCTTTTGGCCTCAGTCACAGATCAGCTTTTTCAGTTATATAAGTGAAAAAACTAGTAGACCACCGCCACTCAATCAAACAGCTCCCGGCCCTTTCCCGGTCTTTCTTGGAAGTTTACAGATCATAACATGTGTTAATACGACAAAGACAGCATGATGTGGTGTGATCTGTTCACAACATTTCACTTTTACATGTTCTTTAAAAATAAAATAAAAAGGCCACTAACCTTTGAGGAAAGTAGAGAACACATACAAACACATTGCTTTGAGGTCCAAGTCAACTGTACCTAAATATTACAACATAACGCGGTCCTACGTGCGCACCATCCATCCATCCAAAGTGGGGTTAAGAGTCTTGCCTAAGGACACAACTACAGCAAATGATAGAGGCCTCGGACCCACAATCTTTAGGTTTAAAGGCCAATGCTCTATCAACTGAGCCATTGTCACATCATCTAATTATACGATTACATAGAACTACAATTTTATTTCAGTTCAATTCAACTACAATAGTCATCTCGAAGGACCAATGCACATCTGTGAGTCCAAGAGAGCACATGCAATGATAACATTCTGATTATAACCATGTACAGTAAGACTGACATCACAACGTGCGGTTATTTTACAGTTTTATTTTGACCACAAGGGGGCAGCTGGAATCAACCAAGAATTAGTGGCAGCAACAGATGGTCTCATTAGATGGATTGAAATGAGTATTAAGTAGATTTCTTTGGTTAAATGTAGCTTATGATGAGATTCTAAAAACATGTTTGTTCATTCATTCATTCACTCATTCAGATTAACCTGGTTGTGATTGGATGTATTGATAATAATCTCCCATTACTTTGTATCAATAGTCTACTAACAGCAGCACTAACTTTATGATTGGCCTGAGCTCTATTTGCATATTAATATTCCAATTCAACCTGAAATCCCTTCCCTGTAATGTTTTATTTACAAAATGATCCTTTCCTTTGATAAAATTCCCTTTAACATAACTAGCAGGCTACTCTGAAAAGTCTTTAGAGCAAAATATCATCCGATACAAGACACGCACAGTCAATTAAATGATTCACCCAAAGAACCGATTGTAACCAGAAGTTGCATATTTTCCATCGTCACCTCAGGACAACTTTTCGGGTGATAAGTCCTCCGTTACAGAATATCCATAGTGCCAGAGGTGGAAGGGAGGCAATGGAAGTCATCTGGCATTAAACCCCTGCTCTATTCAAGAAACATGGCTGGATCAATGTATACGTCCCTGAACCCGTGGCCTCCGGTTCTCTGTAATGAAATGTGTTTTTCTCACAGCTTTATTGATTTTTAACTGGTAAAAAAAAAAAAAAAAAAAGTAGCATGGGAAGAGTCACCCAAAGGCAACAAGCAGTGACTGACCCTCATTAATAGTTTTGTACCAGGAACATGTTTGTGACAGGCGGCGACCTTGTGTGACACCCTGACACAAGAGGATTATCCAACAACTGCTTTGGCTCAAATAAACACAGCTCTTGTTTGTTTCTGCCTCTGACCAGGCCTTTTCGTTCTTTCTCCTATTGTAAATATGAAAAAAACGCTACAGTAATTAGTTTATTCCCAGTAAAAATAGCTCGGCGGGATGTGCGCAACTACAAAGACATCACCCATGGATACACAGTCGCAACAGGGTAACCATGGCAACGCTACTTCTGTAAGGTTGCTTTTTTAGCCCCAAAGCAGATGCCAAATGTTATTTCTTTTTTCTTTTTTTTTTTTGTCTTTTCTTCTCGACCTTTAAACACACACTTTAAAAATACATCCGTGACACAAAGCACCCGCGCTCGAGCCAGATACGTGGGCAACATTAGTCAAAAGTGAGGCGGCGTAGTCACTGTGCAGGGATTTGAGCAGATAAGAACAGCCTGACAGACCACTCAGTGCTGGATTTGCTAAAAATGGCAACTTCAACAGGTCCAAGGGTAAAACACAGATGTTAAATGGGTAAGAAATAGATCTCAGCATTAGGCAATATGTACTCTTAGAAGTAATAAAACTCCTATATTCTGACAGACATAAGGAAACGGTATATGTCACTGCACTGGAGTGACCACAGATGCCCATGAAGACTTCGGCCGCAGTAAGTGGCACTAAAACATTTGGAGCAGCCCGCAGACTCTTGGGGAGAGCCAGACTGGTCAGAATGTTTTGAGGCTATGTATAATGCACAAGAACATATTTTTTGAGCGTGCAGAGGGAGTCATGCTGCTTTGTGACGCTCAGCCCACAAGAAACTGCTCACGCCAACAATGAAGAGTAACTTTAATGCCCTCAGAAAAATATATACTGAAGAGAAACTGAGCCTGTTATGTAACTTATCTATCACTATCTAAACATGCACGAGGGTTGTGTTTTATAGTAGCTTTGAAGCCGCAAAAGATGGAAACATTTATGAAGCAAATGTATAACTCAAATAAATAACTTTCACATGCATGTTTCTTTGCCCTCGGTCTTATTTTAAGCTCATATTTTTTTCAGACTAAAAAGTGACAAAGAGAAGCTCACCCTCACTCAGCCAATCAGCTCCCAGCCCAAATCCTCAATAATGACTCAGATGGTTCTTTCTTCATCAATGAATGAAGTAAAATTGATTGAGTTCTTATAAAAAAAAACGACAAGTTTTCTCACAGGATGGAGACAACTTGATTTCTTGTTTTAATAGACTCTTTCAGTTTAAATTTAAATTGATATCTATATCTATTTTGATTTTTTATTATTACGTTTAAAGATAGAAGACATTATATCACGATTCTCTTGGACTCATCCACAA